AAATCAAAAGAACACACAATAAATTGTCAACTAATAAAAATACCTAACATATCTTTTTAGAAGTCTGGCCAAATTATGGTCCTACCTTTTATGATTTACATCAAGGGGATAAAGATATATTTTTTTTATGGGTTCCCCATCTTCATTTTCTGCATTAACTAATTACAATTAGATCACTGTTTCTAGTTGCTGCCCAAGGATATTATGGATCCACTTCAAGGCCAAGGACCCATTGAGCTATTCAAGGTTCGATCTTGTTAGGTCCGTTTTTGTCATTGGTGTCACAGAGAGTGTTATAACACTTTACTATAACACTGTTTTAACAGAAAATCTGAAATTAAACCAGCAAAAACAGCAATGCAGGAAAATAATGCAGAAACATAAAGGACACCAAAAAATGATATCGTAGTTCGGTGTGCACACCTACTCTGCGGGGTCACGCCCAGACAGTGATCAATCCACTAAGTTCAAAAGATTACAAAGGACCGAACGGTCTTACACACTCAACGACTCCCTCCTTGATGATGTCACCGTTGTCTAGAATCTCCTTAGGAAGCTTGATCAGCAAGCACAACTTGACTTGACGGTTTCCTCCCAAAACTAAAGAATTCTTCTCCCAAAGAGCCAACTCAAAAGTGTTCTAAGAATCTGTCACAACACATTAAACGACGCTTAATATTAAAATATCATTCTGATGAACGAATGCAACTTTTCTGTTTTTCAGCCCTCTGTGCACATTTCACGTTCTGCCCTCATGACCCCCATTAGTCCACACTCAAGCCTGAAGATCACCAGCCATCAATACCCCAAAAAGTCCACTCTTGATTTTCAGTAATCAAGATCTTTGATTTGCAGCTAATAAAACATGACAGCCAAACTTTCCTTAAGAGAACCACCAATTTACAATGCCAGCCAATCTTACAATCAATTTGCCAAAAATAAGCCAACACAAAAATGCACTAATTAACAATCTCCCCCTTTGGCTATTTTTGACAAAACTAACATTACTAACAAAAAGAACCTATTACAAGATAAACGATAAAATCCAACTAAGGGGGTTAATTGAATTAAGAGTTCTCCCTTTTTTTGACAAAATACAGCCAACGTTAAAAATAGTACTAATAGAAAAACTTTTTAGAAGCTGTTATCGCAGAAAGTGTTGCAACACTTGATATAACACTTTTCTACAGATCATCTTTCAGGGTCATTGATCTCTGCAAAACGCTCCCCCTGAGTCCTCAACGAGTCTTACACTCGCTGAATATAATATTCTTCCATGCATATTGCTTTTATCATCTATCAAAAGCTTAGAGTGACTATTACCACAATACTCAGAGTTAGTAGTACATGCTTTAAAAAAATTATAGGCCTCATGACACCTTAAATAAGATTTCCTTACCCACACACGTCTAGGAAATTTGTTTTGCACATCAAACTTCATTTTAGGTGTCTCTTGTGAATGCAGAATTCAGTGGATTAATGATCATACCTATTTTTAAAGCATTCAAGTATTTGTAACATCTAGGTCTAATGTGGCCAGGCAAATTACAATAGTGACATGTAGGAACAAACCTTCTTAACATATGCTGAGGGCGTGAGATAACAACTTTCTTACGAGAGATAATTTGAAGCTCAGGTGCGGGTGTCTCCTTCACAAATATTGTCTTGGACGTTGAGCATTCACTAGTATGACCAAGTCCATGACGATCACAACTTGCTTTTCCTATGGAGAGAATATGATCCAATTTGGTAGTGCCGAAATTCATCATCTTCAAATTTTTCTGAGTGCTCTCAAGTTCAGCCCTTGTTTCCTTCAATTTCTTTTCTCTCTCTGCAGCAAGCAATTCATAATTATCAGCAGCTCTCTTCAACACATCATTCTCTTTGACAAGATCATCGATGCGCTCCCGTAGAGACTTATTTATTTCACTCACTTTAACTCATTTGCTGAACATGGTCTTATAGGATACTTGTATGGCATAAATAGTCAATTCCTCACCATCACTGTTACTTTCAGAATCTGAAAAATCTCCTTTGTTTTCACTGTTCACTGAATCTGTTACAAGCAGTGTTGCAACACTGTCTGCGACACCTTTTGTAACACTGTCTGCAGAAACATCTTGATCAGTATAAACATTGAAAGCAACGTAGTTACTCACATGGTCTTCATCCTCCTGACTGCCTTCAGAGTCTTCATCACTCCACGTCGCATTCAGAGTCTTCTTCTTCTTCTTCTTCTTCTTTAGAGTGTTGGCACATTCGGATTGAATGTGGCTGTAACCGTCGCATTCCCGGCATTGAATACTCCTATTTTTTGTCTTCATCTCTATGTTATTTGCTACCGCTTTATTCTTCTGGAAATTGTTGGAGTTGCCATTTCTTGAATTCTCATTCTTCCTATTGACCTTCTTAATCACCTTGTTGAATTTCTTCGACAACCTTGTTATGGACTGGGCCAAGTCTTCTTCATCATCAGAATCAACTTCGGCTTGAAGGGCAATGCTTTTCTCATTCTTTCCTTCCCTGTTTTCATCCAGATTCATCTCAAAAGTGCGCAAAGAACCCATTAGCTCATCAAGTTTCATTGTTTAGACATCCTCGGCTTCCTCGATAGCTGTCACCTTGTAAGTAAACCTTCGTGGAAGAGACCTCAAGGCCTTCCTCACAAGCTTCTCATCTGATATTTTCTCTCCAAGGGCAAATGCCTCATTAGCAATATCACACAATTTTGAATTAAACTCAGAAATCGTTTCATCTTCTTGCATTCGAAGATTATCAAACCTTGTAGTAAGGATTTGAAGTTTAGAGAGTCTCACGACAGTCGTACCTTCATGTGCCGTTTGCAATGTCTCCCATGCATCATTGGCTATTTCACACATAGAAATGAGTTTGAATTGATTGGCATCCACTCCATTGAAAATAACATTCAAAGCTCTTGAGTTGTTATTGGCCAATCGATCTTCTTCCGTAGACCAAATTTCTTTGGGTTTCAATACTTCTTTTCCAGCATCATCTTTGGTGATAGGGTGTGTCCAACCAGTTAGAATGGTACGCCATGCTTTCTCATCAATTATTTTGATGAACGCCTTCATACGAGCTTTCCAATAGGCATAGTTGGAACCATCGAGAAGAGGAGGGCGCGTTACTGAGCCACCTTCTTTCAAAAAATCTATCCCTAACAAATCCCAAAACATCACCAAACAAACGGTTAGTGAACCATTCTGATACCAATTCTTAGGTCCGTTTTTATCGTTGGTGTCACAGAGAGTGTTATAACACTTTACTGTAACACTATTTTAACAGAAAATCTGAAATTAAACCAGCAAAAACAGCAATGCAAGAAAATAATGCAGAAACATAAAGGACACCAGAAAATGGTATCGCAGTTTAGTGCGTACACCTACTCTGTGAGGCCACGCCCAGACAATGATCAATCCACTAAGTTCAAAAGATTACAAAGGACCGAACGGTCTTACACACTCAACGACTCCTTCCTTGACGATGTCGCCGTTGCCTAGAATCTCCTTAGGAAGCTTGATCAGCGAGCACCACTCGACTTGACGGTTTCCTCCCGAAACCAAAGAATTCTTCTCCCGAAGAGCCAACTCAAAAGTGTTCTAACAATCTGTCGCAACACATCAAACGATGCTTAATATTACAATCTCATTCTGATGAACGAATGCAACTTTTCTGTTTTTCAACCCTCTGTGCACATTCCACGTTCTGCCCTCATGACCCCCATTAGTTCACACTCAAGCCTGAAGATCACTAGCCATCAATACCCCAAAAAGTCCACTCTTGATTTTCAGCAATCAAGATCTTTGATTTGCAGCTAATAAAACATGACAGCCAAACTTTCCTTAAGAGAACCACCAATTTACAATGCTAGCCAATCTTACAACCAATTTACTAAAAATAAGCCAAACACAAAAATGCACTAACAGATCTCATTTGTACAAACATGGACTAAACTACTTAAGTTCCATGTCACTTAACTGCGCGGTTCAGTTAGGCATATATACCGGACATAATCAACAACCATTGCCAACCCATCACTCTCGTTGAGTTGGTCTCTGCACTCGAGATTAATCCCACAAAAACTGTCTTCCGACGCCGTCTAATGCACCTATTAGTACACTCTGGCTTCTTTTCAATAACAAAAGCTGGTCAAGAGCAAGAAGAAAAAGCATATGATTTGACGCCTTCTTCTGGACTCTTGGCGGAAGAAAAGCTTCCTTGCTTATCACCTGTTGTTCAGGCAATGCTTGATCCCACTGTCATTACTCTGTTTTGCTTTCTAGGCAATTGGCTTCGAGAGGACAAGGCGGTGACACCATTTGGGACTACTTGGACAACAATTCAAATCCAACAAAGTTTTCAGTGAGGCAATGGCTAGTGATTCCCAGATGTTAAATTTGGTTGTTTATGGACTGATGGCAAATTTTCGAGGGAATAAGTGCATTGGTCGATGTAGGCGGCGGCACAGGAACGTTCTGCAGGATCCTAATTCCTAACTGAGGCATTCCCTCATCTGAAATGTACAGTGCTTGATCTGCCATATGTGGTTGCTAACTTTTCAGTGTCTCTCCAAACTTGAAGTTTATTGCAGGTGATATGTTTAGTCAATTCCTCCAGCTGATGCAGTTTTACTTAAGGTACAGAGCTTCTCCCTTGTTCCCTCTTTGCTTAATCTTTTCTCTTTGGACCCTCTTTTTTTTTCTTCTTTTTTTTTTCACATTCAGACAAATTTATAAACCTTGTGTGTTCCCGTTTATTTATTTTTTTCTGTGATTTTATTGCTCTTAATAATACGGAATTAGAGCGTTTAATTCTTAATATGAATAACAAGTGCTTTACCTTAATTTCTAATGTGAAAAGGAAAATAAGCGGGAATTCCTCATTGCCTGGTTGTTTTTCTGGTACTTTTTTTTAATAGATAAATAGCTGGATGAAGATGAGCATGAACTACTGAAGAAAAAATCTACCATGACCTGTTGATGATGGCTCTTCTCACAGGAAGAGAAAGAAGCGAGAAAGAGTGGGAAAAGCTTTTCTTGGAGGCTGGCTTCAGTCACTATAAGATAACTCCCTTGCTTGGTTTAAGGTCATTAATTGTGGTGTTTCCATAGAAACGAACATGTAATTTGAGCTTAATGCCGTATTATTGTAAACTAGAGCTAAAATGGTTGATTATGTAGTTATCTGTGTATTTATGCTTCAACTAAGAGGAGTATTCAGTCAGCCACTAATCTTGTTTATTAGCCTTAAAATCTAGTTTATATTGTCATGGAAATCTTTACGAATGTATTTAGCCTCTGTTTGTTTTCTTCAACCAATATTTGGTAAAGAAATTATTCAATAAACCAAGTGTACCAGATTATTTTGATTATGTGGTATACTCGGCTAATAAAAAGTTAATATTGACTCAATCTACTTAAAAGATGAATCTAATTTTCATTTATGCCATCACACACTTAATGTCGCCCTAAACAATGGCTAGGTAGAGGTCCTAAAGTGAGCCTGTTGAGTACCAAATCTTGGGTGTATTGTAGGAGGAGAATAAGATATCATTACCGCATCAACCCATCGGCGACTCTTCAATAGTATTTAGTAATAGGGAACGTTGAAGTTATCTTGGCTCCGTTTATTTCGCCGATTCGAGTTTTTAGTTTTAGGTTTCTACAGTAAAAAGCTTTTAAAAAATGTCACATCTAACTTTTTCTGTTACAGTGAAAAGCTCTCAAAAAATATCACATCTCAGCTCGAATTGAAAACTCGAATCTGCGAAGTGAACGAGGCCCTTGTATGTTGTGTAGGATACGAAAAATCCCAATTAAAAAAGAAGGCACAGGACTCGATGAAAGCTATTGATCTCATCCTCCAATTTCTGAAATAAAGATTATATTATATGCAGGTCTTCACGTACTTGGGTGGCCAATTATGAAATTTTCAAATGCGTACAAATATGACAAAAATTAGTGCGTCTCAAAGGTGGAATTGTTAGTGGGATATTAATTAAACTCTAACATTATATGTATCCTAGTATTTATTTAATGATCCAAACAGACAACGTGTCTAGAAAGGCGGTAAGAAATTCAAAAACTTTTGTTTTTGGTATTAATTAAAAAAAGTGCACCTAGTTGGAATTTAGAATATGTTATGTCATTGGCAGCCTAGGGTTTCCGTGGAGGTTTAAAAATGATCACCAACCATAATTGTTGCTTTTTAGACTCAGCAAATTAATAGATTTCATATAGAGACAAAACCTCATAAACTATTGTAAACAACTCCGAAAAATTACCAAAGAAAAAAATTGCAAGCCAAGATGAGCGGGTTACTAACCTTCTTCTCCTGAGAATCATAAACTTACTACCGTAAGATTACCACTTCTCTAAAAATAATAAACTCCTAAAAAGGTAAACTAATAATAATTTTAAGAGCGGAGTAATTTTTTATTCAGCAGGCCTTATTTTGGTGGAATTATGCTTTGGTGCTACAGCCATGTGATCAATTGTAATAAAAGGAATTGAAAGCCGCCATTCTTATCCAAGTGTTACGAGTCAAAAGGTTGACTTAAATAAATACCAGATGTCTAACCCAATTCAGAATTATTTTTTCCCCTATTTCAGAATCTCCAGCCCTTACCTTAACCCAATAAACTCCTCTTTTTTCTCATTAAATAGTAGGACACGAAAAACAAAAGAGAACGGAAGAGGAAAATCAAAAGAAATAAACTAAACATGAGTTTTGAAAAACAGAATCTGGACATGGTGTTGGTCCCAAGTGGATTGCTCATCATGTTGGCTTACCATCTCTTCCTCCTCCACAGATGCCTCAACCGCCCGCACACCACCGTCATTGGCTTCGAAAACAACGACAAGAAAGCTTGGGTCGACAGAATTATGCAGGTCCAAAAATACTGGAGTGAAAATCACAAAACATCATTGTTCTTTCGCTGTTTCTGTAATTCTTCGTCGCTCTCCGTCCTGCAGAAAATATTCCGACGCTCAAGTCAAACAAACAGTACTGAAAGTGAAAAAAAAATGTCGGAGTGGCTTCTAAACGGAGAGCGACGGGAATCAGTACTAGAGACGGTGAAGGAACGTTGATGTCGTGATTTTCACTCGACAAAAAATTCAAAAAAAAAAAAGAGAAGAAGATCAAAACCGTACCTTTCTTTTCCCTCAAAAAAAAAAAAATGTTTTTAAATTTTCTGTTACTTTCTTTTTCAGATGGACAAAAAGGACGTCGGAATAGCTCAAACGGTGATAAACGCAAACACATCGGCGGCGATTTCCTTCTGCTCGGTCTCGTTGAGTTTGAGCTCTCTCATCGGAGCATGGCTCGGGAGCTCTTCAACGAGCGTTTTCCAGAGCAAATTAATCTACGGAGACACGAGACCTCTGACCATCTCCATCAAATACGTTTGTCTCTTGTCTTGTTTCCTTCTCTCTTTCTTCTTCTTCGTTCAATCTACTCGGCATTTCGTGCACGCCAATTATCTGATAAGCACGCCCTTGAGTGACATTCCTGTTGAGAACGTTGAGACTGCTGTTATAAGGGGAAGCAATTTCTGGTCTGTTGGACTTAGAGCTCTTTATTTTGCTCTCAATTTGTTGCTCTGGTTCTTTGGTCCCATTCCCATGTTCGTTTCTTCTTTGATCATGGTAGCGGTTCTACATTACTTGGATTCCAATTCCAAGCCTCTACATAAGCACCAATATCCCTCTGCGAATAATAATAACAATAATATTAGTAATAGTAATTATAATCAAGGGCTCAAAAGGGTCGGTGAGCGAAGATCTGAGGTGGCTTTGACGGCTCACATTCATGGAAGGAAATTATCTCAGGTTGGTGAATGAAAAGTATGCAAATTGTCCAGAGTTGCATTTTTTTTTTAGTGCAAGAAATTATTATATAGAACGAATATGTAAAAGTGTATCATAATAGAAAAGTTTCAAAAGATCAAAAGAGATTTCGCTGTTTTTATTGTTTAATTTGTAAATCTAGGTCTTAATTTTTTTTCTTGACTTTTGAAGAGTTTTAATTTCAAATCTTTATTTAAGTAAGCACTCAAGATGTTTAAAGTTTAGAACCAGAAGAGTTTTTCCCTATTAATATTGATAGCATGAATTACTTGCTTCATTTGCAAGGTATAAATTGCTTTGCATGACTATGGATGAATTAAGTATAGGAGATTGAGAAGATGAGATTTTGCTTTGGAGATCCACCCCAAGCGTATAGAACATAAATTTCTGTCATAAAAAGCATAGAAATAAATATATGAAAAAATGGATGAGAAGAATGGTATATTAATGATAAAAAGAACTTGGTACACTACTCGCATATGACATGCAACTTTTAACAAATTTCTTTGGTGACGAATATTGCTTGTAAATATATCTTTGAAAACTTATTATTGTATTGAGGATTAGGTGCAAACTTGTCATTCAAGCTTGTGGTTAAGTAATGGACATGCTAAAGGAAAAGACTTGTTTCCCACAAATACAAGAGTTTGTTTCCAAAAGCAATTCATAAGACCCTCAAAAATAAAATAAAAATAAAAATAATAAAAGAACAATTTATAAATTTTGGTAGCATTCAGCCATAATTTGGTAAACATTAACTATGGTCAGCATTGAACTAAACTTAAAATTTATTCAATTGTTTCGTGTGTATGAACAATATAGATTAGTCATTAGAATTTCGTTTACTTCTCACGCTTTCATTTTTTTTTTTAAATATAATGTACACCTTCTCTTTAATATAGTATAAAATAAATGTTGCGTGCCAAACTTTTTAAGGTCCATTATTTATTATTTTTAAAAAGAACGCATTTGGTGGTGTTTAACACCATCCACTAATAAAAAATGCGAGACTCAGAGCCCACCTTCTACTAATAATAGCATTTAATATTAGTGATGCCTCTGAACATTTTTCAAAGAAAAGTAGAGACATACAAGTAAATGTCTGATCGAACAAACCGTCCAGCCTGTATTAGGTAAAAGCCAAAACGCATTGACTTTTTTTCCCCATGTTCTTCGGGTTATGAATGAAACTGAACCCCATGTTCTTCGGGTTATGAATGAAACTGAAATGCTTTTCATTCATATTTCAAAACATTCTAACTTAATCGTCGATCTTATTCTTTTCCATTTAGAACATGTATTAAGTCAAATAAATGGCCTGGAGATTTTTCATGGACATGACTTTCTATTCTCCGTTAACTTTCGATCAATATGAATTACGGGCCAGAATGACACACAGTATCAACGTACCTCTTTCTTTCTTTCTTTTTTCCGCGTAGCTTTCCCCGTACTTTCGTACTAAATTAGTAATACTTTATACGATTTTAAAAAGGAAATTAAAATATTTATTATAAATTTGAGGAAATGAAAGTAAGAAGGTTGCTTTGGCCGAGTGGTTAAGGCGTGTGCCTGCTAAGTACATGGGGTTTCCCCGCGAGAGTTCGAATCTCTCAGGCGACGAAAATTTTTCTATTTTTCTCATTTTTCTTAATAAAAGGAAGACACAAATTCATTTGTCTGTCCAACTTGTTAGGAGTCGTGAAAGAAAATTGCATGTAATCCTTTCTCTCTCTCCATTTTCGATGAAGTTGGTGCCCAATTGCCCATATAAAATAAATGCACTAGTTAGGAGAATGAAAGGCCAGCTGTGCTTCTGAGAATCCCCATTCAAGGATTTTCCATGAAGTTGGCCATACGACATGCCAACAACGCACATGATTAGCTTCTGAGAATCCCCATTCAATGATCTTGCTTTAGAGATAATTAAGGGCATGCTTAGTTAATTAATTTGAGTTTTTAATTCGAGTTGAGATGTGACTTTATGTGATAGTTTTTTACTGTAGTAAGAAAAAATTAGATGTGGCTGTTTTTGAGAATTTTTTACTGTAGCAAAATTATAACCTTAAACTCGAATTCCTGATTTATTTTCTATTTTCCAAAAGTACTTTATCCTTAATACAGCTCTTATTCAATCCTCCATGCTGTCATTACAAAGCAACTAGGATTAAAAATGTCAAACTTTGCCATCTCTACATAAAGAAACCACTAAGGGCAAAGAAGCCTTGTTCATTAAAAGCTAAATTGCGAACAAAAAGTGGGATTTGAGGTTCTCCCTTTTAATCCATTTTTTCCATTACAATATCCCTAAATACCAATATATATATATATATATAGTTTTTCAAAAGGAATAGTTGGATGTGGTGTTGGTCCCAGGTGGGCTTCTGATTATGTTTCTTTACCATCTTTTCCTCCTTCACAAATACCTTTATCACCCTCTCACCACAGTCATGGGCTATGAGAACCGGGACAAGAAACTTTGGGTGGACAAAGTTATGCAGGTAAGTATTATATATATATATATATATATACACACACACACACACACACACACACATAAACACCAATTCAGGTAGCCTCAATTGGCTTCTTTAAATTCAATACTATTTTTGTTTGATTTGCGGGTGTGATAATAAAAATGAAGTTGAAACCGCTCTAAGCGTGATTACTTCCAACATAAGCGCGGCGAATTACGTGTCGACAATGTCGCTAACACTATGCTCGCTTATCGGAACTTGGAATGCGAATTCGGGCACAAATAAGTTTGTTCCAAGGGAAATCATCTATGGCAACACAAAGACGAGTGTAGTGTCCTACATATGCCTCATAACTTGCTTCCTCATTGCCTTTTCGTTCTATGTTCAACCGCTTAGGCACTTTGTCCACGCAAACTACCTAATAAGCACACCGGGACCGGTCGTGCACTTGAGAAACAAGGTGGAGTTAGACGTTATCAGAGGAGGCGAAATCTGGTTGCAGTGATGGAGCCATAAATTTTTGTCAGTGGGGCTAATAACTAAATAAAAATTTAAATAAAATAAGTATCTATTAATGTACTAAGTATTAACATTAATTTTAGTGGGAGCTTATTAGTACTAGAATAATATAATATTTAATTATATATATATATATATATAATTCAAAAGGAAATTTTTTTTTTTTTTTTGAGTGGGCCCCCACTGGCTTGAGTTTAGCTCCGTGCCTGTCTGGTTGCTAGGGCTTCGAGCTTTGTACATTGCCCTAAGTATTTTGATGTGGTTTTTCGGACCATTTTCCATGTTTGCTTCTTCTGTAGTTGTGGTTATAATCTTGTATTACCATGATTCAAAGAACTTACATGATCAAAAGGTTGGGTGAAATATGTAATATATATGTATACATATATATTTATTAAAAATTGAATGACGTGCCGTCGGATCAATACCTTACGATTAAAATAATAATATCTATTAATATTAAAACCACAAAAAATATATATATTGAGCTAGAAGTCCGATGCTACCACTCAATTATAAAATTTAGTTATCGTTACATGAAACCAAGTGTGGCAAAAGAACAAATAAAGAAGTGACCACAATGATACATGCACATACAGAAAAGTACTAAAATAAGCAACGAATGCATACTCCATTAATAACGAATATGCTAAGCTGGAAACCGATTTGCCAAGAATTATACCTTTGAGAGTTTGATCATTTGACTTTATATGCTTTATATATACTTTATTTTCAGTTTTAATTTGGATATATACTGCTCATTTATCAGCCTTTGGCGGCATTGGTTCATCAGCTACATTTGATGACTGATTTTTTTTTTTATTAATCTTCGTGTCGTTTACTCAATTTATTGGCGTCGTTTTTCATATTTCTGTCGTTGTTAATGTTCATTTCACTTATCATTCTGTTGTCATTTCCTGTATTACTGACGTTACCCTGTTCATGTCATTTTTTTTTTGGTCTTAATTAGCTCTTGACGTTTTTTGTTTTGAATATTTGATGTCGTTTCCGCTATTGATGCATTTACTCTTTCTTGACGTTTCATCTTTTGTTGTTTATCTGTGATGTCGTTTCCCATATCGTAGTAGTGCTTGATTTTCATGGTTTTTTTTTTATATATAATTATGTGGTTGTTAATGACCATGTCTTCTTGTTTGGCGTATTATAGTTTTTTTTTTTTTTTTTTTCTGTTTATCTCTCGTTTGTCTTTTCAGTTATTCATGTAGTTTCCTCTGTTGTCGTTTTCTTTTTGTCGTTTTTTCCTTTCATTTCATTCTCGTTGTTCTTGCGGTCTAGTATTTCTTGTCGTCTAACCTTTTAGAACTTGTATCCAAAGATCGTTGTCGGCTTCGATATATATGTGTGTGTTGTTTTTGTTGTGCATGTTGGTTTTTGGCTTGTCGTTATTCTTTGCTCTTATGTCTTTATCAGGCGATCGCAGTTTTATTTTTTAATGTTTTCCTTTAAAATTCGTTTTAATACTTGCTTATTTCCCTGTCCATTAATCAATAAAATATTAGAACAATCATTAAAACAATATTCATATATATATATATATATATATACACACATACATAACTGTATTTAAAATAAGTACATATTTTTTTTCCTTGCCAATGCAGAAGGATTTTTTCTCCCTCGTGGAATCTTTGTTGAATAAAAGCACCATAAAGTTGGTGGAATATGCCAATGCAGTACATAGGTTCCTTCTCGGCCCAAAGATACATGTGTGATCAACGGTCAATTGTGGAATGAGTAGTACCGAATAGATTATGTTTCATCTTATGTTAGAGAAAACAAGTTAATCAACCAATCTTCAATTTCAAGCAACCAAAAAGATTATAAGGAAAAGAAAAAAAAAAAACCTAATCTTTAATTTTTTATATTTTATAGAATCATCATGTTCCTATCCAAATGGGCCAGGCCGAATAACAGATAGCGGGATTTCAAGCCCATTTTTGAGATGTAAGGAGTCCTTTTGGATCGAGAAAACGAGCTATTGGACCCAAACAGGGAAAAGATGGGTTTCATTTCAACCGGATGGATCGGATAGTAGGACAGTAGAGATTGAGAAAAGGAAGAAATAGGGAAGTATGCTGAGATGAATT